CTTGCGCTGCAGAATTTCAATCCATGACGGCGTAGTGTGTTACCAATGGTTTATTTTGTAACTGTGGTCCCAGCTGCCTTCAGTTGATTCATCAGTTCCCCCCTTGTGGTTTCGGGATGATTCCTCACCGTTGGCATGATAAGGGGCACCCCACGAGGTGAGATCTTGTGTGGAGACCCAGACCGAGGGAGGTTGAGTTGAGGCCAAAAATTTCTATTTTGGTCTCATCTGACAACATCACCTTCTTCCAGGCCTCTTCTAAATCGTCCAGGTGGTGAATGGCGGACTTCATGCGGGCCTGTACATGTTCCTTCTTGCGCTGCAGAATTTCAATCCATGACGGCGTAGTGTGTTACCAATGGTTTATTTTGTAACTGTGGTCCCAGCTGCCTTCAGTTGATTCATCAGTTCCCCCCTTGTGGTTTCGGGATGATTCCTCACCGTTGGCATGATCAGGGGCACCCCACGAGCTGAGATCTTGTGTGGAGACCCAGACCGAGGGAGGTTGGCGGTGGTGTGGTGCTTCTTCCATTTCCTGATAACTGCACTGACAGTTGATCTTTTCTCTTCAAGTTGCTTTCCGATTCTCTTGTAGCCCATCCCAGCCTTGTGCAGATCAACAATCTTGTCTCTGATGTCCGTAGAAAGTTCTTTGGTCTTGCCCATGGTGGTGATGTTGGATGCTGGTTTTTTGGGTGTTGACAGGTGTCTTTTATACAGGTAACGAGGTGAGGCAGGTGTATTTTAATGTAGATAATTGGTTGGGATTGGGGCTGTGTCTTAAAGAAAGACTAACTGGCTTGTAGCAGCCAGAATACTTGCTGTTTGGTAGGGGGTCAAACACTTTTTTATCCTCATCAGATGGTTATCAATTTTTATAAATTCATATGATGTGAATTTCTGAAATTCTCTTTGGGATTCTGTCTCTCACTGTTAGAATGTAGAATGTAGATTGTTGCATTCTTTGTAAGTGGGCAAACCTGCAAAATCTGCAAGGGGTCAAATACTTATTTCCCCCACCGTATGTGACTAAATGATCATAAATTTTAGGAAAACTATGTATATTCAAAGTGAGAAGAGAAAATACACTATCACTAGATGAAGACTCCAAAGAGAGATGACATTTTTCTTCAATATAATATCTGCAAGAACCAGAAAAGAGGTTAATATTAGGATCAAAATCAACATTATAAGAATTGTTACAATCGTTAAAACCGAAGGGATGAAATATTAATACATTTTTATCCAAGTCTTTATCCATAGTGTTTTTGTTATGAACTGAAAGCAGGTGCTCATCATCAAGAATGTGAAAACAAAACGCGGCAGAGGAGTCTCTACAAAACCAAGAGAGCCAGAGATTAGAATCATGTCCAGTTATCTGACATTTAAATCTAACATTTTAAATGAAATCCTCTTTTGCAAATGGAACGTTACTTGACATTTCATTGCCTTTTGGCATTTAAAACAACTGTCTTTGCTGTTTGTGTCAAACATAATCAGGTAAAATCTTCACATCATGATGGTAATTTACATTATTATTCTTTTGCTTAGTTTGTGGGATGGTGTGTTATGAGCTTATCGAATCTCAGATAAGCTATTCCCCTCACTTTCTGGCATTTTTGATGGCAGGAATAAATTCTGTGCGCTTTTGTCTCACAGTCAAGAGTAATCCTCAGTGATGTAGATGTTCGATCCTTTGAGGTATCTTTCCTTCTTCAGAACAATGTTTCTGTCTTTGAAACATAGAAAGCTAGCCACAATTTGTCTTGGTTTTTCATCTCCGGCAGATGGCTTTCCAGAGCGATGGACACGCTCTAGCTCAATGTGTTTTTGGTCTAGTTTGAGTTTTTCACTCGGGATCTCTCTTATTTTATGCTCTTAATCACTCCATTTTTTTATGTTCAGACTCAGGGATTCCTTCAAAAACCAGGTTTTTATGCCGAGACTGATTTCCAATCCATGGTGTTCAACTTTAAATTGAGCATGTTGATATCATTGAACAAGTCTTTAAAATTTTTGGACAACTTTTCTGCATGAAGCTTTTCATCCTCAAAAACTGAAAGCTTGCACATTTGCACAAAATGTGTTTTCTTGCTGTTTTAACAACTCCATATAAACAGTTCTGCTCCTCCAGTAGATGTGATGAAGGCATTTTGTTGTCCAAATGTAAATGGTAATCTAAATCTCAAGGATCACAAGTCATCTGGTGTTAGGCCCAATGCTTACATATCCAAATGTATGCACTGAACACAGAGAAAGTTTATTCTCCAAAAATATTTTGAGAAATCTCAATATAAATTGATATTCTCACTCAATAGGAGTTTGAGATGGGATTGGCTTGATTTCGTATGGAATGTAACAAGACCTGCCTCTCCTAGGAAGCTAGCATCTAGGCACCACTGCCGCAGGCTTCTCTTCTAATACCTGCCTAAATGATTTGATTCTGTTTTCAGCTTAAATGCTGTGAATAGCAGAGCTCTAAAAGGATTCAGCTGCTGATGAAGGACTTCTGTTCACTTCAGGCTATATCATCCGGTCTGAAATTTGAATCTAAAACCAATCTAGACCCAGTCAATATTTTTATATTCTCTCTACCACCACAGTAAGAAAAGAAGCAATATTAACCTGTTATCAGCAGAAAAAAATAATTTTGAAGAATAAAGTTTAAGAAAGTTATTTTCTTTTTTTATCTTTTAAACTTAAACTGCATTTTAATTTAGTAGAACCTGCACTTTTTTCCTTTCTCTCCAGTACTTTAACTTCAGTAAAGAAGGTGAGTACGAAAGTTACGACTGTAACTATGGTCCTGTGAATCCCAAATGACAGCCAGTGGCGGTGCTTAAAGCATGAATGATCACTCTTGCGCATGCACAGGTCGAGAATCTGATAGTAACATGGTCCCATGTTACCCCCTGTGACAAAGGTCTATATATAGACAAAAGTCTATATATACTGCTCAAAAAAATTAAAGGAACACTGAAAACACATCAGATCTTAATGGGGGAAAAAAATTATGCCGTTTATACTGATATGAAATGGGTGATGTGTTAGAAACAAAAGGATGCCACATCATTTGATGAAAATGAAAATTCCTGTAAAACCATTACTGTTTTGATGGTCGTTTCATTGTTGCCCCTCTAGTGCACCTGTTGTTAATTTCATTAACACCAAATCAACTGAAACAGATTAACAACCGCCTCTGCTACTTACCTGACCAAATCAATATCCCAGAAGTTTAATTAAATTGATGCTATACTCTGATTATAAAGTGTTCTTTTAATTTTTTTTGAGTAGTGTAGTCACGTGACAATGACAGTTGAGTCCTTTAATCTTCTCTCGAAAAAAAACATGATGATTCCGGGGGACAGAGTGCTCTGGCTGTTCATAGGACCGTAGCTGCAGTCGTTACTTTTGTTGAATTTCATCTCTACTGACCACCAGCACTACGAGCACTGATGAGGATTACTAACAGAGTCCTGAGGAATGACACATAGAAAACCCAAAACATGCCCACATCACTGGGATGATGGTACATGCCGGGATAGGATAGGATGGGATAGGATATCCTCCATTGGGTGGAAGGCGGCCAAGTTAACCGTGTAAAACCTAGGTAAGATATTTGGGGATAACTAAGAGGATGCAGCACAGATAGCCTCAAGAGATTTTCCAGTCATGGCGGCCCATGACACAATAATGCTCCTGGTGGAATGACACTGTACACCAGCAGGGGGTTGGCAGCCCTCTAGAACGTATGCTGGTTCCATGCAATCAAATGCACAAGATGCTATTTAGAAAGGGCCTGCCCCTTTCGGGGGCATGTGCAGCAAACAAACAGACTATCAGAGTGCCGAAGAGAAGCTGTGAGTCTGTTATATGCCTTCAGTTCCTGAGCAGGGCAGAGAGGCTCATCAGGCCCATCTGCCTCAAGGCAGGCAAGCTGGGGGGGCACAATGTGGCTTGCAGCAGAGGCCACTTTAGGAAGAAATGCCACATAAGTCCAGAGAGTAACACCACAACAAGCTCAGATCCAACGGCAACAAGACTCCTGAACAGACTATGCATGTAGCTCACCCACCGGCTAGCGCCACACAGTCACCCCTAAGGGACTTGAGCAGCGCTTTTATAACCTCCAGCTAAGAAGCAAGATGGACCACTTGCTAAAATATGCCTTTAAATCCCTGGAGCTCCTCTTGGTTCTGTTCCTCGACCCATCTTGAGCTCTCTCTCCTATATGTTTCTCAGGCTGGCTGGCGCCTTGAAGGCCAACCAAACAGGGGACAAGGGCAGGAAGGAACAATTAAGCCACATCAGCCAAGGACTCTTTTAGGTGATCTGGTTCCAAACAAGGGGGGACACAAATCATGCCTGTCCTCAAACTGGAGAGGGCCAAACAAGCTCTGCAGCTTGGTGCGTCAAACATCTCACGCTGACAGGGCTAGGTCAGGGCAAACTGATATTGCTAAAATATGTCTCGAGGCTACCAGCGACAAGCACCTATGTCTTACCACCTGTTCAACCTTCATGTGAGAAGATAAAAAGTGACTGAGCTGTCGTCACTTGACTATATAGTCTTATAGGCGTCACTGGGGGTCAAACGTGACCATGTTGGTATAAGATTATCAACCTGTATATGTATGAGTGACCATTTGTGCTTTAAGCACTGCCTCTGACAGTCAGCAGGGATGAAATTGAACTTCTCACACCTCTGGATCCTGAGAGTTTTGTATTCCTAAGGGCTCTTCTGAGCTTTATCTCCATCTCAGTATGTTACCTGCTGCGTACCTGTGTTATACTATATTCAGTGACCCTAGCCAAAGAGAGAATGTGTTCAGTGATGCTGTATGATTGGACCAGCCCAGTGTCAGTGAGGAAAATAACCAATGGTCCTTGGACTAGTGTTTATCACGTGCCGGGGTCACATATTCTGCTGGAATGTTTTAATGGAAAGTTTTAATCTGCATCCTGTTGAATTTTGTTAAAACCGTTTATTCTTTATTCAGATTGTCAGAGATCAGCTGTGCTTCTCTGGGCTCAGCTCTGAAGTCTAACCCAGCCCATCTGACAGAACTGAACCTGAGCAGAACCAACCTGGACCCTGGAATGAAGGAGCTCAGTGGGTTTCTCCAGTCTCCCCTCTGCAAACTACAGACTTTGAGGTCAGATGTAATATATTTATTTATTCTAATGACATTACAGTGGATATCTCAGTGTGAATGCAAATCAGTGATCTAGAAAAGGGTCAATAGGCTGCTTTATTGGGGAGTGTTTGCCTAGTGTTTAGAGCAGTGCAGTTGTGCTCTGAGAAAGATGCAAGTATCCGGTTCGATCCCCACAGCCTCCACTCTTGTTTCCTGAGCAAGAGTGATAACTCCCTGTGTGCTCCCTGCGCACACACAATGGCAGCCCAGTGCTCCCAAAGGAGATGGTTTACACACTGAGAGTGAATTTATCAATTGTCAGACAATAAAGGGATTTACATAACATTTGATTAGAATATGCTGTATAAACATATGTCCAAACTAGGAGGAAAGTGAAAAAGGGAAAATTACCAGCCAAACTTTTAAATCAGAAGTTTTTTATTCAATGCAGATGAATCATCAAATACAGACAGATCTATTATTCACTGCTGTGATACTGTGGTGATTATTTGGGTAAAGTGCTCACTCAGCATCTAGCCTTCATAAAGGTCAATATTTCAGATGCAGTTACTGTCACAGATTGAATAAAATGAATATAAACCTACACAGAAAAATATTATAGGCTTTCATTTGTATGATAAAATATCTATCAAAATAGCTGAAAAAGTTCAGTTTCAACGTGTTAAAGGGAAAAGGTGTTTTTAAATTATTTCCTTGTCACCACTGCTCCTCCTGCTGCTGTTTCCCTAATGTCCTCTGCCCCCCTCCAAGTGCAAGCACAACTGTCGGAGGAAAAACGCCACAGCTCCCTCTCCGGTGGGCCAGTCTGGCTCCACCATGTCCTGTCTGTTGAGCCAGTCCGATGCAACCACTTCCTCTCCAGTAGGCCAGTCTGACGCCACCACTTCTTCCCTGGTGGGTCAGTCCGACGCTACCAATTCCTTTCTGGTGGGTTAGTCCGACGCCACCAATTTATCTCTGGTGGGTCAGTCCGATGCCACCACTTTCTTTCCCTTTCCCTGTAGGTTCAGTCACCTCCTGCATGACTCCTAGTTGTCCCCACCGCTTAGGTTGTTAAAACTTTCAATTAGCCCCAGACTGTCCCAAACTATTATTTCAGATCCCCCACATCTTAATGAATCAGAGCTTTTAAGTTTGTTTTTTTTTTATGAAGAGAATGAGGTTTTCCCTTTACTTCCACCTTTCTCAGCGGGCCAGATTCCGAGCAAGAGCCCTTTAGCGGGCCACATCTCCAGCCAGAGCCCTTTAGCGCGCCACATCCCCAGCCAGAGCCCTTTAGCAGGCCACATCCCCAACCATGGCCCTTAAGTAGGCCACATCACTAGCCAGAGCCCTTAAAACGGGCCACATCCCAAGCCAAAGCCCATTAGTGGATCAGTCCTTCCTTCTCATTAGTTAACTCCTGCCTGTGTGCAAGCCACTCATTGAGCTTCACCCATTGTCCTAGCTCCACTCTCCAGTGAGAACCCGTTATCAGTCTCATCTTCTCAGGTAGAACCTGTTAGCGTTTCCACTCCCTTCTCGTTAGTCCACTTACACCAGCTCCATATCTGATGATTAGCTTGTCTGGGTTTAGTCTCCCAATATATACCTCAACTCTAGAGTTACTCGGTTCTGGTTTCTTGTGTTTTGTTGTTTCCCTGGTCTCTGGCTTCTCACCCGAGTTTTCCCTGATGTTTTTCTTTTTTCGGGTTCATTGAATTTTTATCTTTTTTGATTTTTCCTCAGTTGCTCCATTAAATCTCCACAATTCACCACTGCCTCTCTGTTTCTGCATTTTGGTACTCAAAAACTCAACCGAACTGTGACACTTAGATTATCCTATAGATAAACATGTTACTGAATAAATTAATAAAAAAATCTATATCAGCAAATCATTAGAACTTGCATTGATTTGGATAGACATAAAAGTCAGAAATGAATGAAAGGATGAGGTTGTGTTTGGCCTTGTATGTTCATAGCATTGATATCTATTCTATTGATTTCTATTGAATGATACAGGGAGCTGGTAGAGTTAATAAACAGCTGGGAAGTAGATAATGAAGTGATTCAGCCATTTTGGGCCCCAGGTGAACTTAAATCAGGGGCCCTCCTCTAAGTCATTGCTTCTCAGGAGTCAGGATCCCCAATTTAACATGCAGGATGTCGACTAGATGCTGATCCTACAACATCAATAACAATTATCCACATTGGTCTGGAGTGAGCTGCCATTCAATTGTCATGAACCCCAGAGCTGAATGCTAAATGGGTGATGTGTCTAAATCAGCAACACTGCTGCCCTAAATAGGAAGGTTGACTATTCCTGTCTCCCTACTTTAAAGAAAATATACACAATATACTTGTTATAAGAAAAAAAAATACCAATTTGTCTGTCTATTTTTTTCTCCATTCTTTGTCAGGTTATGGTAACCAGGTAACACCAGGTAACACGTGCCGGGGTCACATATTCTGCTGAAAAGTTTTAATGGAAAGTTTTAAATTCAGCTAAAATATTTTATTCTTTATTCAGATTGAAGAACTGCACTTCGTCAAAGATCAGCTGGGCTTCTCTGGGCTCAGCTCTGAAGTCTAATCCATTCCATCTGACAGAACTGGGCCTGGGTGGAAACAACCTGGACCCTGTAATGAAGGACCTCAGTGGGTTTCTCCAGTCTCCCCTCTGCAAACTACAGAGATTGAGGTCAAGTGTTATTTATTTTTTTATTCTAATAACATTACAGTTCAAATCTCAGTGTGAAGGTAAATTAGTGAGCTAGCAAAGGATAAATAGGCAGCTTTTTCAGAAGATGCTGCATGAAAAACATGTCCAACTACTGGGAGTAAAGTTAAAATGGAAATTGCATCAACAAACGCAGACAGATTTATTAAATCAGGACAAACAACCATTCACACACACACATTCACCTAAGGAGAATTTAGAGAAGCCTATTAACCTAAAAGTCATGTTTTTGGACTGTGGGAGGAAGCCAGGGTACCCAGAGAGAACCCACATATGCTCAGGGAGAACATGCAAACTCCATGCAGAAAGACCCTCGGCCAGGAATCGAACCCGGAACCTTCTTGCTGCAAGGCAGCAGTGCTATCCAGTGCATCACTGAGCAGTCCACCCTCAGAAAATTCCATGGATAAACATGGTACTGTAATCAAAAGATCAATAACAGCAAATAATTAGAACTTGCATTGACTTGGATAGACATCAAAGTCAGAAATGAATGAAAAGACAAGGTTGTGTTTGTCCTTGTTGGTTCATAGGATTGATATCTATTCCATTGATTTCAATTCTATTATTTTCTATTCTATTGATTTCTATTTTGTTTTATGTAATGAACAGCTGGGAAGTAGAATAGCTGGGAAGTGGCGGCCTAGTGGTTGGGGTTGTGCCTGGGTTCCAGAGGTTCTGAGTTCAACCACCCCTCCTATGGACTGATACTGATGTTCCTGAGCAACAACCTTAACCCCACACTGCTCCCCGGGCCCGCATAATGGGAGCCGACTGCTGCCCAAGCGGATGGGTTAAATGCAGAGTTAATGTTGTTGCTCTGTACTTGTGACAGTATAATGACAATAAAAAGCTGAGAAAAAAATAAACAATACATTATGTTAATCAAACAAGAAAGCTGTACAAAATGTTACTTTTTAATTTTTTCTTTAATATTTTGTTAAGTAGCTAAAAGATGAGAAAAGCTTTTCACTGAAGATCATCAAGCTTCTGAGTTATTTAGAAAAAAAACTTATCTGAGCCTTTGAACATCTAAAAAACAAACATTTTTTAAAACTAGAGAATCTCTGAAACTGATTAAATAGATTTTGTTGAATCTCTGTAAAATGGTCAGATCCTAAAAACACCTCTGCTCTGAAATCAGCCCTGTTCTCCTGCTGCGGGATTATTTAGTTGTTATTGTTTCATTTCTGTGTAATGATGGAGGCAGGCCCACATCCCTGGACTTAGCAGCTGTTCTGCCCGTTAAAGGAAAGACAAACTATCAGTCCTTCCCTGCATGTAACTCCTACTTCACAGCCACGGTGCTCCGTGTGCACAAAAACTAATTTCTCTGTCTGTTTTTTCTCCATTCATTCATTGTCATGATGGAGCAAGTAGCCATTATAGGAAATACAGTGAAAGTAATCTAATTCGTTTTTTTTATGTTTAAATTTGATGTGCTTTCGGGCCACCAACATCCCATTCATCAGTTCAGGCTGATAAAGGCCCTGTCCTGCAAACCTTACTGTCATTTTCCACCTTTGAAGCCTTTTGAATAGAGAGTTTTGTTCCCGTAGTTTCTAGTGACTCCTCTGGGCTTTATCTCCATCTCAGTATGGTAGGACCTGCGTACTGGTGTTATACTATATTAAGTTACCCTGGCCAAAAAGAGATTGTGTCAGTGATGTTGTATGATTGGGCCAGCACAGTGTCAGTGAGGAAAATAACCAATGGACCTTGCAGTAGTGTTTATCACATGCTTGGGTCACATATTCTGGTGGAATGTTTTAATGGAACGTTTTAATCAGCATCCTGTTGAATTTAGCTAAAATCTTTTATTCTTTATTCAGTTTGAGTAACTGCAGATTGTCAGAGATCAGCTGGGCATCTCTAGGCTCAGCTCTGAAGTCTAATCCATCCCATCTGATAAAACTGGACCTGTTTGGAACCTACCTGGACCCTGAAATGAAGGAGCTCAGTGGGTTTCTCCAGTCTCCCCTCTGCAAACTACAGACATTGATGTAAGATCTGGTAAACTTGTTTATTCTAATCACATTACAGTGGAAACTTCAGTGTGAAGGTCAATCAGTGAGCTAGTAGAGGATCAATAGGCTGGTGATCAGAAGAGCAGGTTACGACTTGTAGGAAGACAGACATGTTTAGAAAACAAAGACCTCAGTTTGTCTGAAACACCCCAACATATGGAATAACGAAAGTTACGACTGTAACTACAGTACTATGAATCCCGGATGAACGCCAGAGGAGGTGCTTGAAGTACAAATGATCACTCTTGCGCATGCACAGGTCGAGAATCTTATAGCAAATCCCTTAATCTTCTTGCGAAAACACGATGATCCCGAGGGACCGAGTGCTCTGGCGGTCATCCGGGATTCATAGAACCATAGTTACCTTTGTGACTTTCGTTCTATTTAATCCCTACGGAGCGCCAGAGAAGGTGTTTAAAGCACGAATGACGATAACCATCCGTGTGATGCTGAGAGATCACATACAGAAAACAACCCCAAAACAGGCCTACCTCACTGGGAAGATGGTGCGCGCCGGGGTAGGATCCCCTCCATCAGGTGAAAGGCGGCCAAGTTAAGCTTGTAAAACGTAGCAAAGGTATTCAGGGATGACCAAGAGGCTGCTGAACAAATAACCTCCAGAGTGACACCAGTCATAGTGGCCCATGACACTCTAACTGCCCTGGTGGAATGGCACCGTAAACCAGTGGGGGTTGGCGGCCCGGCACAATGTACGCTTTTTCCACCACATCCACAATCCAACGTGCAAGGCTCTGTTTAGAAAGGGTCTGCCCCTTGCGGGGCCAAGCTTAGCAAACAGACTATCCGACTGCTGGAGATAAGCAGCAAACAGACTATCCGACTGCTGGAGATAAGCTGCAAGTCTGACATATACCTTCAGTGCCTGAACAGGGCAGAGAGACTCATCAGGCCCATCCACCTCAAGACGAGCATGCTGGAGGGGCACAGCGTGGCTTGCGGATGAAGCCACCTTAGGAAGAAATGCCACATGCCAGAGACTAACACCAGAACCAGCAGGGTTCCAATGGCAGCAGGACTCATGAACAGACAAAGCATGTAGTTCACCCACCCGCTTTGCTGAGGCCATGGCGAGGGGAAAAGCTGTCTTCTTTAACACAGACTCAAGGCTTGCCTCCACCAATGGTTCATAAGGAGGAGAGCGCAGGACAGCAAGGACAAGGGAGAGGTCCCACACAGGCACAACAGGGCATATCGGAGGGTGCAAACATTTGGCACCTCACAGAAACAAGGAAACATCCTTATTACGACTCACCGTATCCCAACTCACCATCGAATGCCAGCAAAAAATGGCAGCAACATATACTTTCAGAGTGGATGGAGAGTGACCTTGAGAAAGCAGTGCTTGAAAGAAGGTTAAAACAACAGAAATAGGACAGTGTACAGGGTCCTCATGTCTGTCCCCACCAGTTGCATGAAAGGGGCCCTGGCGTTAGTCAATGTGTGTCCGATGTCCCGATCATACTCCAAGGAAACGCTGGGCCCTGTAGTGGCCAAACCCAGAGTTGGAGGCGACTGGGATTGGGATGTAGGATCTGACCCCCCCAGCTGTGACAGAAGGTCCTTCTTGTGGCAATGAGGCATTGGAGAGCTGCAACAGAGCCTGTGCAGCAGTGGAAACCAAGTCCTCCCGGTCCCCTGGTGGTGGACGCCCCCAAGAAAGGATGTCGTCCGGAACATTCTGCACCCCTGGAATTTGGGCCGCTCTCAGGCTGGCAAAAAGAGGAACTGCCCAGGTCAACAGCTTCTGGGTCAGCCTCAGTAATATCCTTGACCGTGTTCCCCCTGATGGTTGATGTGAAAAACAGAGGACACAAGCCATGCACTGCGTGAACACACGCGGGAACAGAGAGAGGCCGAATGAAAACACTGAAATAAAATGCTTGCCCTGAAATGCAAAGTGGAGAAAATGCCAGTGTTCTGGTGCTGTGGGACATGAAAATATGCGTCCCTCATGTCGACCAAGGTCAACCAGTCACCTGGAGAGATTGCCTGAAGCCCATTTCTAATGCTTAACATGTTGAAGGAGATGGGTTTCTGGAAAAAATTCAGACCTCTCAGGTCCAAAATTGGATCCCCCAGTCGTTTTCAGGACAAAAAAATACTTCGAGTAAAAGCCCCCTGGATCCCGAAGGGGTCGACAGGCAATATAGCACCCTTGGCCAGAAAGGTGTCTATCTCGTGGCTCTCGTAGCCTTAGCCTTTACCTGGTCATGAATCACTGTCATCCTGACTCCACCAGGGACAGGAGGGCGGCTGCGGAACTGTACCCCATAACCCTGGGTAAGTGTACACACTACCCATGGATCGGGAACGACAGCAGCCCAGCAACCGAGCTGGTCCAGGGTAAAGTGTCCCACCGCTGGCCCACTGATGTCATCTCTGAGCCCCCCTTGCCATGGGCACGTCTTGCAACAGGTCCTGCAGCAAGCCGTGGATGCCCCAAACAGGGTATAATCTGGACAGGATAAGTGCACGATAGAGACACAGAGGCACTCCAAGCAGGACACTGCATTCATCTGCGATGAAGGCCGGCCAACTGCTGTCTGGTACACAAAGCCTGGGCCGACCACTCCGAGGCTGCAAGTGCAGCGGAGCCAAACAACTCTCCTGGAACCACTGGAAGGCCCATGAGTGTCCTTCAACATGCCTCTGTTAGAGGAGAGTTAGCTAGACAAACCTGGCAGTGTGCCTGAACAAGGGTAGACAGGACACGTCCAATTTCCCTTGCCAGAAGAGCAAACACATGGAGAGATAGATCCATCAGCCCTTGAGTAGGTGCATTGACTGCAACACACGACCCAGCAGTAAATGCGACAAAGAATTACCAAGTCGCTCCAAACGAGACCCAGAGTCATAGGTTCTACAGAGCAAATCATCAGTGAGACGGCACTGAGGACGAGGACACCTGACATTAGCTCACAAAGCCTCATCTGGTGCCACAATGAGGGAAGCTATGGCCGGCTCAACAGAAGGCATATGGCCCAAGCCAAATTTGGGAACATCTTGCATGGCTGCCAGTGCCCTGCAGAGGTCAGCCGTGAAAGGGCCCTAGTGTCCACCCAACAGACATGGACCTCCTTCACATACTCTGCAGATGGGGAACCATAAGGGATGACTTAGCAGTAGGATGCCAAAAGAACGCACTGGAAGAAGCAGGTTGGTCCTGCAAGGCTGGTCCTGTGGAGCATCCACCTGCAACTGGGCAAGAGCAGTTCTCAGAGCGCCCACTATTGAATCCTCCTCCTCCGACTGAGAGCCAGAAGAGATACGCGAGCTGGCTTCTGAGAGAAGAGAGCCGGAGTCAAAATGATCTCGAAAATCAGTGCCAGATGCTGCCAGAGATATAGCATCATCATCTAAAGCAGAGTCCTGAACTAACTCTCTGCCCTTGGTCAGGGTCCCCAGTCAGGCTAGCGCCACGCGCTCCCCTAAGGGACTCGAGCAGCGCTTTCATCCCCTACAGCTCAGAAGTGAGATGGGCCACTTGCCCAGATATGCCCTCTGAAACCCTGGAGTTCCTCTTGGTCCTCTTCCGTGGAGGCCCCATAGCCTCAGGAGCCACACGTTTCACAGGCTGGCTGGTGCCTTGAAGGCCAGCCAAACAAACATTACGTAAGGACAAGGGCAGAACAAAACCATTAGGACAAGCTGCATCAGTCAAGGCCTCTTTCAGGTGATCTGATCCCAAACAAGAGGGACACAAATCATGCTCCTCCTCCAACTGGACAGGGGCCAAACAATCTCTTCCTACACACAGGGCTAGGTCAGGTCGAGCTGAAATCACCATTTCTGACACTTAACAGAACAGGTTGGGAAACCCGGTCCGGCAGAAAACACCGCCAGGGGTTCCTCGGCAGCAGGGTGGACTAGCCAAGCACGGGAGTGAACATAAAAAGCAAGCCCGAAAACGGCTGCCTATTAGTAATAGAGGCAAGCCCAAAAACGTCTGCGAATAAACAAAAAAAGCAGGCCTGAAAGAATGTCTGCTATGAGTGGTAGGTAACCCCGAAAGCGGCTGCAAAATAAGCAAAAAGTAAGCCGGAAAACGGCTACACAGTGAACAAAAAGCAAGCCCAGAAAACGGCTGCTATAGTAGTAGGCAAACCTGAAGGGGCTGTACAGCAAACAAAAAGGCAAGCCCACGGCTGCCAGTTAACAAGCTGGTTGGAGTCGGCTAATGCTGAGTCACCAGCAACAGGGAGTCACGGTGAGAACACGTCCCTGATTGCCATTGATAAGGAGAGATCATCCTTGCAGCTCCGACCTAAGTCTTGAGGCTACCAGTGACAAGCAACAACAGTGTTTTACCACCTGTACAACCTGCATGCGAGAAGATGAAAAGGGACTGAGCTGTCGTCACCTGATTATATAGGCTCACCGGTGTGACACAGGGTCATACGTGACTATGTTGGTATAAGATTCTCTACCTGTGCATGCACAAGAATGATCATTCATGCTTTAAGCACCGCCTCTGGCGGTCAGTAAGGATGAAATAGTAATACTGGTCTGGGTGTAGATTCTGCTGGAGTGCTGTTTGGGTTTCTGTCTGCTTTAAGGAAAGCCTAGTTAGGAGAACCACATTGCTCTAGCACCTGTCTGGTGTGTGATTTATCCTCTCTGCTGAAGTCAGCAGGTCTTTATTGGAGCAGTAGCATGTTGGCATTGATATTAATGAAAGCTGTTAAATTGGTTCTGTTGGACTTTCCAAAAAAACAAGAAAGTTAAAAACAATCCACTGGACTTTGTTTCCAACTTTGAAGACATTTCGCCTCCCATCTAAGGAGGTTTTTCAAGTCAAAATGTCTAGAATAGCGTTGAGTTCGAGGTTTTATATAATAGCCCAACAAAGCCTTTTTTTTGTTTTGAAAACATTCTGTTGGGCTGTTCTAACCTACATCCTGTTGGTTCAGCTCACATCTTTCTATTCTTTATCTAGATTGAGGGACTGTGGTTTTTCAAAGATCAGCTGTGCTTCTCTGGTCTCAGCTCTGAAGTCAAACCCCTCACATTTGGAACACTTGTACCTGTGGAACAACAACCTGCAGGAGTCAGATGTTCAACAGCTGCAGAATCTTGTAAAGAGTCCAGACTACAAACTGAAGACACTGTAAGTAGATGGTTGGAGTGAGTCCAGCTTCTCCACAGCTGCTCTGAACTGGGACTGAAGTCCCTGCTGCTCTTTATCCTGGATGTGCCGCATCACTGACTGACAGCTGATGGAGAGAGAGAGAGGCTAGAAACACTCACTGATCTCCTCTGTTATTCCTATTTCTCTCTACAGGGAGTGGTGGCCATGATTATCTTAGTAAAGGAGAGAAGCCGATCTTTGTCTTGATGATCCACAGAGGTTGAAGCTGCAGCAGTTTAAAGAGACTCTGACTGGATCCTGATGATGAACTCTGAGTTTAGAGATGTTTCTCCTCTTTATGTGATCCTTTCTGTCATTTTGTGTCTGATATTGTTTTTGTTTGGAAGATGAAATTTAAACTAAGCTCCATTTAGTGGCTCCATGAAGGTTTGATCTGAATCTGATTAAACTGTACTTTTTTCTCTCTGATTCATTTTCAGCCTGTTACCCAGAAATCTGAAATAAAGATCAAATCAAAAGTTTTCAGGCTGCATGTTTGCTTCATTGTGATGCAGTTTTTGGCTGTTTTTGATTCTATTCCAGATGTTCTCTGCAGATGTTTGGGCAGCTCTGCTCATCGGATCTGTTGCTGCAAACAAATTAGTTAGGAAATTATGGTCACTTCAATAAGAGGATGAAGCTTTTCTTTAGGATTCTCATTCAGATCTTTTTGATTTCCTTCTCTCTGAAGGTCAAATATCAAACTGAGTAAAGATAAAGTTTTTTCTGCTCCTCCATGTCCTTTGTTGACCTTTGGAAACACTTTCTGGAGTTCAGAGACTTTCAGATCTTCTTTGGAGGATGTGCTACCTTAATCCAGGCACATATTAGAGCGTGGTGGGATTATTGTGATGAATGCAGAACTGTAATCTACAAAGAGCATTCAGACATAGCTCGTGCTACTGCTTTAGATGGTTCAGTGCAAAGTAGATAGCTACGGCGATGGCATCCTCTGTGGATCTGTTCATCTGCTATGTGAACTGGTGGGGTCCAGGTCTGGGGGGAGAAAAACCAGTGTGAGGGCCAAAAGGTGGTAATCATTCAGGCTCCTGATGGCAGATTTCTACAGCAGCTTGATTAGTGTAGAGGTTTTCAGGCAGAACAGGATGACTACCTGGACAAGGGAAAGGCTGAAGATCCTGCTGATCAATCTAAGTCTTTGTCTGATGATGCCATTGGCAATTATAATAATAATAATAATAATAATAATAATAATAATAATAATAATAATAATAATCTAATTATATTATTGTAGCTTTGTGGAGAAATACGAAGTCAAACTAGCTCACAATGCCAATCCAGGTAATTAATATCCTTTAATCCTTTATATACACTACTCAAAAAAATTAAAATTAAACACTTTGTAATTATAGTATAGCATAAAGGTAATTAAACTTCTGGGATATTGATTTGGTCAGGTAAGTAGCAGAGGGGGTTGTTAATCTGTTTCAGCTGCTTCTGTGTTAATGAAATCAACAACAGGTGCACTAGAGGGGCAACAACGAGACCACTATCAAAACAGGAATGGTTTTACAGGTGGTGGCCCCGGACATTTTTTCCCCTCCTCATCTTTTCTGACTCTTTTTCACCAGTTTTGCATTTGGCTAGGGTCACTGTCACTACTGTTAGCATGAGGCGCTACCTGGACCCTATAGAGGTTGCACAGGCAGTCCAACTCCTCCAGGATGGCACATCAATACATACCATTGCCAATAGGTTTGCTATGTCTCCCAGCACAATCTCAAGAGCATGGAGAAAATTCCAGGAGAAAGGCAGTTTCTCCAGGCGAGCTGGAAAGGGCTGTAGAAGGTCTACAACCCATTGGCAGGACCGCTATCTGCTCCTTTGTGCAAGGAGGAGCAGGAGGAGCACTGCCAGAGCCCTACAAAATGACCTCCAGCAGGCCACTGGTGTGAATGTCTTTGACCAAACAATCAGAAACAGACTTCACAAGGGTGACCTGAGGGCCCGACGTCCTCTAGTGGGCCCTGTGCTCACTGCCCGGCACTGTGGAGCTCCATTGGCATTTGCCACAGAACACCGGATGTGCTTTTCACAGATGCGAGCATGTTCAACCTGAGCATATGTGACAGACGTGAAAGGGTCTGGAGAAGCCGTGGAGAACGTTATGCTGCCTGTAACATCGTTCAGCATGACCGGTTTGGTGGTGGGTAAGTGATGGTCTGGGGAGGCATATCCATGGAGGGATGCACAGACCAGATTTTTTTTTGCCCCATTGATATCTAATGTATTTTCCAAGTGTTCCTAAAAAAATTTTGAGCAGTGTATAATAGAATTTAGTTCCTGAGGCTCATTCCCGTCCACTCTCCATTCCAGTAGATGGCAGGAATGCATCTATCTGTTGTTTGCCAACCAGCAAAATTATTTTTTTAAAGAAGAAAGAAGAAGTCGTCAGTAGAAGCTAGAAACATTAGCATTGCTTCTCTTTGGGGTCATTGTAGAGAGGCTGATAATCTCTGGGTGTTTGCAGTGAGAATGTCTTCAATCCAGCTTCAAGAACAGTTTCAACTCCTGCTGAAGAAACATTCACAGAGTTTAATGGGAGTTTTGTAAATTCAGAGGAAAAGATGGACGATCAACATCTACTCCTGGATTTCACCAGGATCCTCTTACACCGGATAGGTAGGAAACACCTGATAGAAAAGATTCCCTGATAATGCAGACTGGGGATTTTAGTCTCACCTGATTGGAAAGCTGGTTAGAGGAGATCAAGCTGCTAAGCTACAGCTAATGTTACACTTCTGACAATGATGGGCCAACTCTTCTCCAGTGCAACACATTTATTTTTGTAGAAACTGCAGAACAGAAAATACAGCAGGTTAAAACAGCTGCCCTGTGCATCCTCTCTGCTTCATCCAGCGCTGATGAGTTTCTTCTGCACAGTTGCAGCAGTACAGTAAATCTATTTATCATAGAACTCACAGTAGTGAAACAGTTTTAGCATAACCACTTAGCTTAAGGTCTATACATTTCTGCAATATTATCCCAAATACATCACTTCCCTTAAATACATTTCTTAAAATTTATTTTATTACATGAACTAACCCATCATGAATGCTTAGTACTTTATAGTACTTTTAACAGTAACCCTTTTAACCCAAATGTGAATTGCATTGTAAATTAAATCAATTTCAAACAAAATATATCAGCTTAATGAAATCAAAATAGATTACATATCCTCTGCCAATTAGAAAATATATACACAAGACATATTACTGCTTCAACCCAAATAACAATGTGGGAGACACAAACCTGAATAACAGGCTGCAAACTGAGCTCACACCAGAACCTGAATCACATGCACTTGATTCTCCTAGCCTGATGCTAATGCTAGCAGCCCATTTAGCTCCACAGCTTGATTTTACAGAAGGTTATGCTACCATCCAGTCACTGCAGGTTAAAGCCAAAACTCTGTGGTTTGACTGATAGCAACAGTCTCCTTATAGACTTTCTTTAGTGTAGAACAATCCGGTAAGAGGTGTGCTACTCAGCGCCGTGGCTAGCTCACACGTGTGGCATTTTTAAAAACACAACAGCAGAACACCTTCAGCATAAGTTTTCTTCTTTCTACCAAAAACACTTACAGTATGACTACTGTTGTAAACAATTAAATAAAATGGGGAGCTACTATTTTAACGATCACGACTATTTAATAGTGCCACACCAACTTGGGAGTCCATGTCACGATAGCCCCATGTCGTCATTCAACCGCTGGTTGTCTAGGTGGAGTCCTGAAAACAACGTGGGCTACATTAATAATTGGCAATCCTTTTGGGGAAAGCCTGGTCTGATTCGGAGAGACGGCATCCATCCCACTTTGGATGGTGCAGCTCTTTTTTCAAGGGATCTGGCCACATTTATTAGTCCTCCAAAAACCTGACCACCCAGGGTGCAGACCAGAAAGCAGAGTACTATAGTTTAACGCACATCTCTGCAGCTT